CTGGACTCAGATGTGTGTGGCAGGAAAAAGCAAGGGAGGAAAATGCAGCCACCATTTTGTCTGCTCCTTTTAACTAAACTCCACTCCTTTGGAAAATGTGAATTGGTTAGTACTGTAATCCAAGGAGCTTGGTTCCAAGACACCAAGAAGAATTCTCTAGAAAAGTCTTCCCTGTTGAGTTCACTTCAAATAAGAGTCCTATGGGCCACCTTAATGAAGGAAGTTTCCAGGGAAATTGTAACATCTCCCTATTTGCTGTATTTCTATCTTAAATTGTGTAAAAAACACTTCAGGAGTCTTCTCAACTCCAAAGTTTACAACTTTCCTCAGGGAGAAATGATCTTAATCCCATGACCAACAAGTGTATTAAAAACAAACAAACCAACATTACCTATATAGAATACGCTCCAAAAAAATTTTATGTTCCTCAAAAAAGTTTTGGAATTTTCTCTAAAAGATAAACAAACAAACAGGCACCAGTGCTATGGCACAGTAGGTTAAGCCACCATCTGCAGTGCTGGCACCCCATATGGGCACCTTTTCTAGTCCTGGCTGCTCTACTTCCCATCCAGCTCCTGGATGATGTGCTTGGGAAAACAGCAGACAGATGGTCTAAATGCTTGGGCCCCTGTATCCACATGGGAGACCTAGAAGAAGCTCCTGACTCCTGGCTTCCACCTGGCTCATCCTCAGCCATTGAAGCTATTTGAGGAGTGAACCAGCAGATGGAAGATCCCCTCTCTCTCTCCACCCCCTTTCTCTGTAACTCTGGCTTTCAAATAAATAAATAAAAAATAAAGAAACAAACAAAAACTTCCCTCCCGAAACCATGAAGTGGATGAGTATTATCACACCCAAGATTCAACCTACTGGAGCTGATGGCCATAAGGACAGGTGTTGACTCTGTCCCGTAAGTCACCCCTGCCCTGAGGTTAGACTTGACTACATGCACATCTTTAATAAGGAAGCCTTGTTTACAATTAATACAGAAAACAGCATATGCTTCTTGATGTTAACAATGAATTTTATTTTATTTAAAGACAAACAAGCTCTGGTGGGTCTATTAGAAAAAGGGCTGTATCACTGGCTTCAAAATAAGCTTTCTGCATGACAGCGTTGCTGATGTGTGCTGCAGATGGGAGGTGTTTTCACCCAATCTGGACTTTGTTCAAAGGGAGCCTAAGTAACACTGATGGGTTCTTGTAAGATTTTTTATAATCCTTTAGAGAACTACAGTGATGGGCCAGCCTTTCAAGATTGTCTTTCAATATCATGTATTACGTTTTAACCTGCAATCATTTTTGTTCACATAGATGCACAGCAGTGATTGAGATTTGTAAAGTGCCGTTTGGCAGATGAACTCAGTTCTGGTCTTGGATGTAAATAAAATCAGGCTTTGATAATAACCCATCACTCTGCTCATGAGTATATGACTTTCAGTGCTTGGTAAACCTGTACCAGCACCAGAGGCTGCAAGGCTTAGGTATGAATCACAGACCAGGGAATAGCAGGATCTTTCATAACCCAGATGACACGGCTGACCAACCTCAGTAAGTCTTGGGGTTGACAGTTTTTTCTAGCCATGATGATAGATTTGCATTGCCTGTCTACAGTGTGATCAATACCATGCAATAATAGATGGCTGACTGGGTTAAGCATGCTATTTGTGACCCTGGTTCATTTCATATTGAATTCTGCTGGGTGGTGACTAGTGAGGTTCCTATTCTTTCAACATAGTTGATTACTCAAGTATTAGGCTGAACCATATAAAATAATGGTTTTGTGGGTCCAAACAGCTGAACATCAGTTTTCTCCTTATAGATCAATGTAACACCAAAAGAACTTCTTTTGAGAGTTGCTTTGTTATGTTCTCACCATCTGGACTGTGTAGCAGTAGCTGGAAAATTATTCTTGACATTTTGTTGTCACTCCTGCTGGCAATTTGACTCTTTCATGTTACATGTTGAAGAAGTGGTTTTTACGCTATCTTGTTTTGTTTCTTGATGACTCTGCATAATTCACCAAGAAAAATCTAATGGTTCTTTTATAGCAAGAACATATTAAACATAACACAATTTCTAAACCTAATCTTTCTTCGATACATTTTTAAGGAAAGAAATGTAATATTGTTGTGTCGAGTGATCTTAGGACAACAAGCAAAACTGCGTCAGCCAGATGATGGCTGGTGTTTCAATGAGTGGTTTGCACAATCTCTGAAATAATAACAATGTGTCCCCTGCAATCAGCCCAAGTCCTTTCTCACAGTGGATGTATTAGCAGTGAGTCATAAAAATCTTCAGTTCCTTACACATATCCCTATGCGAGGGATTTCCCAGGAAATTACAAAAGTATGAGCAAATTCCAAAATGTTGTCTTAAAAAATATCATACTGAGTTCTAGGGCATCCCGTGCTAGGAAACCTAAGTATCAAAAGAAAACATTCCACCTTTTTATTTTTAACTAAAGATGATGGATTCATTCAATATTTGGAGGAAATAATTCCAATCACCCAGTTAACCCTTTCACTAATTTTTTTTTGACAGATAGAGTTAGACAGTGAGAGAGAGACAGAGAGAAAGGTCTTCCTTCCATTGGTTCACTCCCCAAATGGCTGCTATGGCCAGAGCTTCGCCTATCCGAAGCCAGGAGCTTCCTCCTGGTCTCCCATGGGGTGCAGGGACCCAAGCACTTGGGCCATCCTCCACTACCTTCCTGGGCCACAGCAGAGAGCTGGACTGGAAGAGGAGCAAGTGGGACTAGAACCTGGCGCCCATATGGGTTGCCGGCACTGCAGGCGGAGGATTAGCCAAGTGAGCCGTGGCGCCAGCCCCCTTTCACTAATTTTAACTCCCCAAATAATTCAAAGCAGTAAGACATACCATGTGTTTTTAATAACTAGATGCTTGAAGTAACTCTGCAGGATTTTCTCCCATTTCCACAAGACTAAAACAAACTGTCCAACAACCTGTAGTGCTTTCATCTAAACTGCAGCACACACACAAACTATTCCAGGAGATGGAAATGTGTCCAACTTTTCCTTGCTATAGATTCCCTCTGTCAAACTGGAAAACTCATTTAACCTTTCTTCTATTAGATTCTCCACTCTGTGCAATAGATGCCTAGAATATTAGCAAAATGGGCAGTTGTAAAGAGTTTATTTTGATTGTTCTTTTTTCACTTTAGCTATTCCCAAGATCTGGTATGCTTCATTATCTATAAGTTATATTTGAGTATTAGCAATTCTATTTTTACTATCACTATTTTAACAATGAAAGGGCTAACTGTGTAATTGCAAACATCTTCAAAAGTATCAGATTCTATACAGACATGCTAAATAACACTTGTTATTACCAAATGTCTGAACTTCTTTTTCCTTTGGTTACAAAAGAACATGAGGTGCCTTCAAAAATTTATAGAAAATGGAAGTAAAAAATAATGCAGGGTGAGCTTTTGGCCTCCTGGTTAAGATACTGCTAAGGTGCTTGTTGGAGTACCTGGGTTCTGCCAGGCCCTGGCTCCCGACTCCAGCGTCCTGCCAGTGCAGACCTTGGGAGGCAGTGGTGATGGGTCAAATAATTGGGTTTCTTCCACCCACTTGGGAGACCTTGATTGAGGACCCAGATCATACCTGCTTGTTGTGAGCATTTGAGGAGTAAACCAGCCTATGTGAACTCTCTATCTCACTTTCTCCCTCTGCCTCTCAAATTAAAAAAACAAAATGGTAACACAAATTTTTCCATGAATTTTCAGAAGCCCTCTTGTCCATTCTTTTTTGAGTGGGAAAGGAGATAGAGAGTAGCATCTGGAAGCAGGATGCTCCCAGCACCTCAACCTGAAAGTCAGTGGTGAGTGCACAGGAGCTGAATACATGACCCTTCGACTGTATTTCTTCTGGAGCCTACCTAGGCTGCCTCGCTCCTTCCATGAGGGCTGTGGCCTGTGACAAGATGGCACATCCCACTAGGGAGCGAGGACCTTCATGCGTACCTCAAGGGGAGGATGCACCACTGCCTAAGAACTGTGGGAACGATATTATGACCTGCACAGTGCCTTGGAACCATCCAAACCTGTACAACCTACAGCCAGAAGAGTGCACCTGGCACTAGTGCTTTGGCATTGTAGGACACATGTCTCAGATCCATTACCTTCCTCAGGGCCAGGACTAGGATGCAGAATGTAAGAGTGTGCCAGAAATATCTAGTAACTGAGATAAGTCGTACTCTAAAAAAATTAAAATGAATGCAAAAAATTCGTGATCAACAAAGTATCAAAATGATGTCATACGATCGAAGTCACTAATTATTTCTTTTGCTTCAGGCTCCAGCGTAACTCAGCAAGCCTGTTACTGATCCTGTCATCAATTAAAATTGCACTGAATTTTTTGGTGTCCTTCTAACATTGGGCACCTGAAGGTCCCTGCCCACCCATTTTCCACATTGCCCTTCCTTTTCAGACTGGGTCACACCATCACTGGCTCCTGACCTCCCAAACCACCACCTGATCATGGTTTTGCCATTTTCCTTCTGTAATCTAATCTTCAAGGGATCAGGGATTGATTGCATCTGTCGGTCTACAGCTGAATCTTGAGTATTTTAGCACAGTGAAGGCTGTTGGAGCTGATGCTCAATGCAGTATGCGGCTGCCCTGCTGGTTGTACAAATGGAAACTCTCTGGCAAGACTCCTACCCCAGAGCCTGCTTCTGAGCCACAGGCCTTCTTCCGGGACTTTACTGAATACTGCTACAGGAAACCAGAAACCATGTGTCCAGGTTGGCAGAAACCTGAGAGTCAGTAGGGTTAGGTGCACCTAAGTAGATCAACTGGGAAACAATAAGGTGATTAATCTTATTGTAAAAAAGTAATCACGATAATGTAAGATATTTTCCAAATGGTCTATTTTGCAAGAGATCCATAAAAGGGTTTGGCAATTTACATGGTTTTTGCTTTTGCTTTTCAGCAATGCTCGAATTTCTCAGGTTTGAGAAGTTCCAAGCACTTACCTTCAATGGTGCACTGATCAGGGATTGGAATCCTCTTTCCGATCTCCACGGCGTAGGCTTTCACTTTACTGAGGTTTTCCTTTAAGTACAAGTAGAGCTTATCTTTGTGTTCCATAGGACTTGTCATTGTCCCTAGAGTTTCTTCCTGGCAGTTCTCTTCAATAGTTTCTGGCAACTTCTCTGATTCTATATGTACAATACTTGGGTATGAAACTGAGGAACCTCCCAGCTGTGACCCATCCATGTCTGTCTGAGAGAACAGCTTGTCACTTCCTTGGAGAAGTGGGTCTATTTCTGACAGAGAGGTGCTGGCAGGTGTATCTCCACTTTCCACATCGTCCCCGTCATCTGAGCTCACACCCTTCGTGAGCATGGAGTGCAAAGCCAAACTTTTTGACCTACAGTACCAACAAAGGGAAAGTAAAAATAGATAAAGCAGTTGAGCCACTATTCACTGACAAGGAAGAGAAAGACTGGTAGTGCTGGGACAAAGTCCTCCGAAATGGGATACTACAGGCAAATTTGAGAAAACATAGATCATCAAGAAAATCCAGGCCACCTCCCCAAACAAAGTCTTAAAAGTCAGTTTCATGGTAAAATTGGCTGCAAAATGGTAGACTTACATATTTGTGTTCTTTTTCTACTTTTGCTTCTAACTTTTCATCAGAAATCATGAGATACTATTGACAATCATTTTCAATGTTGGCATATTTATGCACATATTCAAAAGGTGTTTTTTAAAAATAGCTATGGGTTTATTTTCCACTTAAAATAGTGAGCTTCTTCGAATAATGAGAGCACTGGAGATAATATTTCAGTCACGAAAAAACAAAAATATGGATGGTAACAAGTAAAAGTACATAAAAAGCACCCCACCACAGTATGATAACAAAATCAGTAGCAAACATGAAACGCGAGCTTTAGAAAAAGTAACCACATAAAATTTATACCTGTTAAATCTCATGTTTTTTCTTTCTTCCTTAGAAACTTGGCCCAAACTATATCTTCTGATTGAAGCAGGAGTATTGCTCTCAGCATTTATTTTGTCTTCAAAGGCCTGGATTTTAACTTGGAGCTTTTCATGGTCTTCGTTTTCAGTTATTGTGAGTTTAGTTTCTTTCAGGTTCTCAGGGAATTCAACTTCAGTGCTGGTTTTTCCCCTGAAGGAACAGAAGCCATTGTACTAGCTGTTGGTCACACATACCACTCAGAACTGTGTCCTTTTTAATTGCCTCTTACTCAGAACTGAAAAGTTTGCCAGATAGTTTTACTTATTAGCGTTTCAACAAGTAGTTATCGAGTATCCCCTATGGGCATATAGAAATTGCTTCTACAGCTTTTGCTGCCAGTTTAGAAATGCTGGTGTTTGTGCCATCTTTGTATTAGAAATCCTTTTTGAAGGGTTCAGAGAATAAGAAAGAAGTTTTTAATTGTTGTCAACCACATTCTTATCTGTAGACACTTCAAAACACAGTTTCATTAGGAAATTCATGCCAGCATTTCCTAGAAAATTTACAGGTGTGCTGTTATGTTTGAACCTAAATTGATAGAATAAGAATATTTCATACGGACTGTGTAAACTCACTTTTAAAAATGTTATGGAAATCGATATAAGACAAATATTTCTGAATTTGAAGATGTTGGAGGAAGGAGGTTTTCCATGATATCAGTCATTCCAAATATCTTTTATTTTTTAAAGATTTATTTATTTATTTGAAAGTCAGAGTTATACAGCAAGAGGAGAGGCAGAGAGAGAGAGAGAGGTCTTCCATCCTCTGGGTCACTTCCCAGATGGCTGCAATGACCAGAGCTGTGACAATCTGAAGCCAGGAGTCAGGAGCTTCTTCTGGGTCTCCCACATGGGTGCAGGGTCCCAAGGACTTGGGCCATATTCTACTGCTTTCCCAGGCCATAGCAGTGAGCTGGATTGGAAGTGGAGCAGCCAGGGCCGGCGCCGTGCCTCAATAGGCTAATCCTCCACCTAGCGGTGCCGGCACACGGGGTTCTAGTCCCAGTCGGGGCGCCGGATGCTTTCCCAGTTGCTCCTCTTCCAGGCCAGCTCTCTGCTGTGGTCAGGGAGTGCAGTGGAGGATGGCCCAAGTGCTTGGGCCCTGCACCCCAAGGGAGACCAGGAGAAGCACCTGGCTCCTGCCTTCAGATCAGCGTGGTGCGCCGGCCGCGGCGGCCATTGGAGGGTGAACCAACGGCAAAAAGGAAGTCTGTCTCTCTCTCTCACTGTCCACTCTGCCTGTCAAAAAAAAAAAAAAAAAAAAGGAAGTGGAGCAGCCGGGACTCAAACTGGCGCCCACATGGGATGCAGGCACTGCAGGTAGCGGCTTTACCCGCTACTTCACAGGGCTGGCCTCTCCAAATATCTTACATAACAGTTTATAAATCACTCTGTGGTTCATTAAAATTATCTCCTTTAAGGCAAGGACTTTGTGTGGTACAATTCTGGACCCACTCTAGGGCTAACAGTGCCCTAGAGTAAGGGCCTTTGGACAAACTACAGAAATACAAAAAATTTTTAAAGTTCATGGAAAATGTGTACTATGAAAAGACTACATGTGGACTTCAAGATTTTTTGCATCAAAATAAACTTACCTGCTAATTCCATTTTCCATGAATTTAAAAATGTATATATTTATTTGAGAGGGGGATAAAAGAAAAGAAAGAGAGAGAGTGAGTACTTTCATCTTCTGGCTCATTCCCAAAATTTTCACAATACTTAGGGTTAGGTAAGGCCAAAGCCAAGAGCCGGGAACTCAAGTCAGGTCTTCCACATGGGTGACAGGCACCTAAGTTCACAAGTCCATACCTGCTGATGGTGTGAATTAGCAGGCAGCTGGAAGCAAGATCAGACTAGGACTTGAATCCAGCACTCTGAAAAGGGCTGCTGCTGTCTTAACCACTAGGCCAAATGGACTGCCCCTCCACGAACTTTTAGAAATCCCCTTGTTCTGACGTCATAAATGAGAGTGTCAATTGTTAAATCAACAACAGGAGTCACTGTGCACCTACTCCCCATGTAGGATCTCTGTCCTTAATGTGTGGTACTATGTGAATTAATGGTATAACTAGTACTCAAACAGTACTTTACACTTTGTGTTTCTGTGTGGGTGCAAGCTGTTGAAATCTTTACTTAGTATATACTAAGTTGATCCTCTGTATATAAAGATAATTGAAAATGAATCTTGATGTGAATGGGATGGGAGAGGGAGTGGGAGAGGGGATGGTTGCAGGTGGGAGGGAGGTTCCGGGGGAAAAAGCCGCTATAATCCAAAAGCTGTACTTTGGAAATTTATATTTATTAAATAAAAGTTAAAAAAAAAGAAATCACTTTTCAGTTAAGTTTCAGCACTTAAGAAGAATTGTGTATTGATTACAGTATTCAACCAAAGGTATTAAGTAGAACAAACAAAAAAAATACTAAGAGGGATAACATATCAAGTTGTTCATCAACAGTCAGGGTGAGGGCTGATCAAGTCACTGTTTCTCCTAGTGTTCATTTCACTTTAACAGGTTTCCTTTTTGGTGCTCAGTTAGTTGTCTCCTATCAAGGAGAACAAGCGGTATTTGTCCCTTTGGAATTGGCTTTTTACACTCAACATAATGTTTTCCAAATTCCTAACAGGGATCACTTTTCAGTTAAAATTTAAACACCTAAGAATAATTGTGTGTTAATTACAGAGTTCAACCAATGGTACTAGAACAAAAAAAATACTAAAATGGATAAAGTATTACATTGTACATCAACCGTCAGGACAAGAGCTGATCAAGTCACTGTTTCTCATAAAGTGCTGAAACTTAACTGAAAAGTGATCGCTGTTAAATGTAAGAGTGGGAATAAGAGAGGGAAGAGATGTGCAATTCCGGACATGCTCAAGCTGACTTACCTCAAACGGTAGAGTTAGAAACATACCAGGGGATTCCAATTCAATCCCATCAAGGTGGCATGTACCAATGCCATCTCACTAGTCCAAGTGATCAATTTCCGTTCACAATTGATCATAATGATAGGACTAAGAACCAAAGGGATCACATAAACAAAAATAGTGTCTGCAAATACTAGCTGATAGAATAAAAAAGGGAGAGAATGATCCAACATGGGAAGTGAGATACACAGCAGACCCATAGAATGGCAGATGTCCTAAACAGCACTCTGGCCTCAGAATCAGCCCTTAAGGCATGCGGATCCAGCTGAAAAGCCCATGAGAGTATTTCAGGCATGGGAAGCCAAGACACTCTGGGGGAAAAAAAAAAACCTAAATGAAAGATCTCTGCGAGTGAGATCCCAGTGGAAAGAATGGGTCATCAAAGAAGGAGGTACCTTTCTCTGAAGGGAGGAGAGAACTTCCACTTTGACCATGGCCTTGTCTAAATATGATCAGAGTCAGTGAACTCAGGGGGCTTCCATAGCCTTGGCAGCTCATGACAAGAGCCTAGGGTGATTACTGATGCCATAAACAAGAGTGTCAATTTGTTAAGTCAACAACAGGAGTCACTGTGCACTTATTCTTCATGTAGGATCTTTGTCCTTAGTGTGCTGTACATTGAGATTTAATGCTATAACTAGTACTCAAACAGTATTTTTCACTTTATGTTTCTGTGTGGGAGAAAACTGTTGAAATCTTTACTTAATGTATGCTAAACTGATCTTCTGTATATAAAGAGAATTGAAAATGAATCTTGATGTGAATGGAAGGGGAGAGGGAGTGGGAAAGGGGAGGGTTGCGGGTGGGAGGGACGTTATGGGGGGGAAGCCATTGTAATCCATAAGCTGTACTTTGGAAATTTATATTCATTAAATAAAAGTTTGAAAGCAAAAAAAAAATCTAAAAAAAAAAATCTAAAAAAAAAATCTAAAAAAAAAAAAAGAAATCCCCTTGTTCTTTGATGCTCACTAATGTGATGAATAATTACAGAAATAGTCACCTGCGTTTATCTTCTCTTACCTGTCTTTTAATACTGTAGGCCTAGTAAATGTTATTTAGTAATCACTAGCAATCAAAAGGTGTTAGTCTTATCCTTTTCTTATAGAAACAAAGGTAAAATGAGCTGCTTCTCCTCATCACATTTCTGACACCAAATGTGTGGATTTTCTTTTTATCATACCAGTTAATTCTCTAACTCTCTGGACACCAGCTGTGTGTCCTACAATTCAATTCAAACCTGACACCGATTCCTTGGGTTAGGCTTAGAGTCCACAGACAATCCCTACCTCACACGGGGTTCCCCAGCTTACCTACACTCTGTCCAACTCAATTATAAAGCCAGGGGTGGGCGTTTGGCTTAGTAATCAAGACACGAGGAAGGATGCCTGCATTTCACATTGGCGCGTCCGGGCTTGATACTGTGCTCTGGCTCCTGACTCCAATTTCTTGCTAATGTAGACCCTAGGAGGCAGGGATGATGGCTCAGCTTCTGGTGTCCCTGCCACTCACTTGGGAGAACTAGATTGAGTCCCCACTTCCCAGCTTAAATCTGGCCCAGCCTTGCTGTCTTGTGCATATGGAGAGTGAACCAGTGGTACCTCTCTGAATGTCTCTGGCTGTCTATCTGTCTCTGTCTCTGTTTCTGCATCTCTTAAATTAAAAAAAAATTTTTAAAGAAAGTTTTAAAAGCCAGGAAATTTCCAGAAGTCCCTGCTTCCCTTGGCTCAGTAATTCACTAGAGCAACTAACAAATTCAGGAAAATAATTTAACTTACTATGACTGGTTTATTGTAAAGGATACAACTCAAGAATAGCCACATGGAGGAGACACAGAGGGCAAGGGGTGGGGAAGGGATGCGGAGCCTCTGTGCCCTTTCTGGCCTCTGCTCTCCCAGCACCTCCATGTGTCCACCAGTGCAAGAGCCCTTTGAACTTCACCCCTCAGGGATTTTCATGGAGCTCTCATTACGCAGACGTGATGGATTCAGTCATTGGGCACTGGTGATTAGTTCAGTCTCCAGCCTCTTTTCCCTTTCCAAGAGGTGGGGATGCAGGGTAAGGGAGCTGGATAGGGAATGGGCCTTGGTCTTTATGGAAAACCTCCCTCAACCTGAAGCTATACTAGGGTCCCCAGCCACCAGTCATCTCACTAGCACACAAGACTCTTATCACATGGAGAATCCAAGGGTTTTAGGAATTGGGGACAAGACCAAATATTTGTTTTT